TAATAATAATAATGTATAATAATAACACATTAATAATAATAATAATAATAATAATAATAGAATAGATCGACAAATAGACAGATAATAGAATAGATTAGAATTTGATAGATACACGAGAAGTACGAAAAAAGCGACGTCTGAAACGAAGCACGATCGCCATGACAACGCGCGCTCACGTACCTCACTACGCGAGTGCGCGCGTGTCCAAACGGCTCGCCAAAGTCCCACGTGAACGCGACGTCCGTGCCCGCATCGATGGTCGCCACGGCGACGACGTCGCGCAGGATCGGCACGACGCGCGCGACCGTTGCCGTGACGACGAGCCCGGAGACGGGCTCCTCGACGACGATGGCGCGGTCGGCGGTGACGCTACTCACGCGATTGTACGCGCGCACGCGGAGGGAGCGGCTGCCCGCGCGCGAGAACGCATGACGCAGCGTGAACACACGCACGGCGGCCCGTCCCCGCTCCTCCTTGTCACTTGGGATGATCGTCGACTCCACCTCCTTTTCCTTCGCCTGCTCCTCCTCCTCCTCTGCTGCCGCATCGCCTCCCGGGATGATCGTCGTCGACACCTCATCCTCCGTCTTCTTCTCCTCCTCCTCCTCATCCTCCTTCTCCTCATCCTCCTTCTCCTCATCCTCCTTCTCCTCCTCCTCCTCCTCCTCCTCCTCCTCCTCCTCCTCCTTCTCCTCCTCCTCCTCCTCCTCCTCCTTCTTCTCCTCCTCCTCCTCCTCCTCCTCCTTCTCCTCCTCCTCCTTCTTCTTCTCCTCGCCACCCAGCAGGATCGTTGTCTCTCCCTCCTCTCCCTCCTCCTCGTCGCCGTACGTCGTCGTCACGGTGATAGGGTCGTTGCCGCCGCCGACGACCTCGACGACGACCTCGACGTCGCGACCCCGCAGCGCGGTTGCCGGGGCGACGACGCGCACCTCGACGATTGGTCGCTGCACGTGAACGATGGCGGTTGCCGGCGGCGACGGGGAGGAGGAGCCGAGGGCATTCTCGCCGCTCACGGAGACGCGGAAGACTCCTGTCTCGTGGAACACGTGCGAAAACTGCAAGGTAATGTGAAGAAAAGAATGTTAAAGAGAAGCTAGGAGGGGTAAGGGAGGAGTAAGTCAAACAAGTGCGAAAACTGCAAGGTAATGTGAAGAAA